ATGCTGCTGTTTTGCATCTGTCCCTGTCCCACTTGCCTTCTTCCTTCCTATTTATCCCATATTGCCCACATATTGGTGCAGAACCTCAAAGAGGTCATGGACTTGCTGTAGCTTCCTCTCCACCTCTCTGCTCATCTTGCTTTAATGCCTGGGTGATAGGAAGCTCTTGTAAGCAGGGCAGTAAGCTGAGCAGTTTGCAAAGCAGTACAGTACCCTGCTTTGGACAAGGGTGCAGAACAAAATGCCACCCCTGTCTCTTTCTGGCTATACCTTACCCTGCCATGGTGCTCACTCTCACCAGAGAGGAATTTACCAAAAGGATTTACCAAAGATATGAGGAATCATCTGAAAAAGACTTTTGTGAAATATGGCTTTGCATGGTACAAAACAGTGATGGCCACCATCCAATCTTGGATGCAGTGTGATAGGTCTTTCAGTTCTGTTTTCCTAAGTCAGAGACAGTGTAACATTCTGTCTAGATTGACTATTTGATAATATTGATATGTACAAATACGCATGTGTACATAGGCATACGTGTAAAAATGCCATTTGTAATGCAAGAAAATATTCAGTATTTCAAAGAAATATAATGCTCTAGGTTTTTATGTGTACTTCTTTCAAAAACATCCTGGCAGATCTCCGTTAGTCTATGCAGTCGTGTTGCCCCCTGTTGACTTCAGTATGTCCCTGCAGCTTTCCTCCTCTAGCTCCAAGTCAGAGCTGACTCTTTGTTCTCAGGGCAGCTAACCAGAAGACTTCATGACACAGTTTGTTTTCCTGACACAGAATCACAGAATGGTTGAGGTTGGAAGGGATCTCTGGAGGTCATCTGGTCCATCCCCCGGCTCAAGCAGGGTCACCTAGAGCTGGTTGCCCAAGACCATATCTGGATGGCTTTTGAGTATCTCCAAGGATGGAGACTCCACAACCTCCCTGAGCAACCTGTGCCAGTGCTCAGTCACCCTCACAGGGCAAAAGTGTTTCCTGATGTTCAGAGGGAACCTCCCGTGTTTCAGTTTGTGCCCGTTGCCTCTGGTCCTGTCACTGGGCACCACTGAGAAGAGCCTGGCTCCGTCTTCTTTGCACACTCCCTTCAGGTATTTGTGTACATTGATGAGATCCCCCTGAGCCTTCTCTTCTCCAGGCTGAACAGTCCCAGCTCCCTCAGCTTTCCCTCACAGGAGAGATGCTCCAGTCCCTTCATCGTCCCTCCCATGACCCTTCGCTGGAGTCTCTCCAGTATGTCCATGTCTCTCCTGTACTGGGGAGCCCAGAACTGGACCCAGCATTCCAGCTGTGGCCTCACCAGTGCTGAGCAGAGGGGAACGATCACCTCCCGCCACCTGCTGGCAATACTTTGCCTAATGCAGCCTGGGATCCTTGGGAGCCTGCTTTGCTGCAAAGGGACATTTCATGCGTACTAATGAATGCAATAAATAGCAGGAGTGTACCCAGGTACCGTAACCTCAGCGTTCACAAAAGGAGTGCCACAACCAAAGAAAGGTGAGGTAGAATCATTCCAGGAGCAATAGAACAAAAAGCACTCGGGTGATCGTGGTTTACAACCACCACAGTCCTAAAGGCAATCCACCGAGGATCTGATCTTTATGATCTTCAGTAGTCAGAGATGCAAAACCTCAAGAAAATATTTTAACAACCTCCGAATTCCAGCAAAGTCCCCAGGAAGGTTCAGAAAGGCAGTCCCAGCCTCCACGACCTCAAGTGATGCACAATTAGTGGGCAAGGCTGTTTGGAAGCGACTGCCAGGCCTGCGGCGAATGGGACGGAGGGGTCTAGCCCTGTGCTCTCCTGTGCCCCTTTGCCTCCCCACTTCCCCCATCCACCAAGACATGCTTTGATGCTCTCTGCATTTCTCCAGGTCCCCTACACCCTCTCGCTACTCGGGGGTCCTGAAGCAATTGCCACACAAGCCCCCTTCCCTTCGGTGGCCAGGGTAATCATCAGCATCTTCTCTAATTTGAGAAAAGTTCATGGTGCAGCATGAACCTGCAGCTGAGCCCTCTGGCTGGGACAGGGGGAGTGCAAAGAGATGCTGCCTCTCTGCAGAGATTTCCCCATGGGGCTTTCCAGCAGCTCTGCTGGGGATTTGGCTTCCCCCTCAGAGGGGGATGGGCAGCCCTCTGCTCTGCTCCGTCCTGTTCTTGCAATTGCTACCCAGATGTTGCACTCTCAGCGAGACATGATGTGCCCAAAGCATGTCCTTCAGAGCCTCGGGTCATTTCTTGTCACAGAAGATGGTCTTGTTCACTGCTAGCAGTAACAATATGCTCATGGCAATTAGATCTATGTCTAAAAAAAAAAATTAATTTCCCCAGAAATACTCATGTGCTGCCGAACACTGCCTGTGCGGAGGGGAGGGCTCCAGTACCCTGCTGCGCACCAGGGCTGGGAGGCTGGGGGAAAGGCCATGGGGAATTAAAACCTGTTGGCTGAGTACTTTCAGTTAGATACAGCTAGAGGATTTTTGCTTTTTATTCTCTTTGGTCTGCTCATTAGTGAGGATGGGAGGAAACAATGGCGCCATGATACTTTCACTTCAAGCATCAGGGACTCTGGGATGCTTTCTCATTAGCCAGCCTAAGAGTTAGGGATTTAAATGTAAAAATATCAGGCACATCCAGTCTCCAGTGTTGCTGGAAGTGCAATCAGAGAAATCCTTATGTAGAAAGGCAGAAGAGGAACTCTGCTCACTGAATATGGCCTTTCATTTTGAACCCAGGTGCTTTCACACACTGTTATTAGGTGCCGGTGCTTTCATTAGCTAATGCACTTTCAACAGATCTGACTATATTTTATTAATGGGTGAATTGCTCTTCTCCCAGGTGGTTCTTCTAAATAATTTAAGTCTGCTCCAATCAGAAAGCCCGGCATTTATGAATATTATGCCTCTCTTCTAAGAGATCCCCAAAATTTGTGCTCAGTGATGTGCTTCTCTGCATGGGAAATAACAGAACACTGCCACCTGATGGAAATCTTGATTTTATGCAAGAAATTAGAAAGTAAGTCTAGAAAGCTTCAGAGCTCTTTTTCACAGAAAATACTTTCACTTTTGGGCAAGATGGGCAATCAATATTATGAACTATGTTGCATATTACTTACCTAAAACCACATTTACATGTTTTTAGCATAAATTGAACAGAATATTGCACATCTTCTAAACCAGGTGGAATTCAGTATAGAAGTAAAATGGTCTCAGCCCGTTGCTGTTCCCCCACAGGCAATGAAGGGTTTACATTTTCAAATACTCATATGCTGAAGTGCAAATAACAGGGGACTGTGGGGGTGCGCACCTTTTTTTCTAGAGAACAAATAGTCTGGAATCATATAAATACCATGAAATTAAGCTGTGTTAATTATAAAAACGTATCAATATTCTTGTTCAATTTTTTCCTGATTAAATAAATTGAAAGCAATTATTCCAAGTCACTTGAAATTCTTTCCAAAATGAAGTATCTTAGCTTTTATATTTTTGAGTATTTTAAAAAATGAATTTACGTACTTTTCACTGTCATTTAGAAGAAAGAGGTTTCATTCTGAAAAATGAAATACTTTACTTTCTCTGTTTGTTCCTAAATTTTATTTTGATTCATCAGATGTGGGTTTGTGAGCTTCTTTACTTGACCTGAATATTCGTTTTAGTGCCAGGTAAGGCTACGAGCTGCTGTGCAGATCGGCCCCGGGAGCGCCCTGCCGCTTTAAGAGACTTATCTGCATGGCCCCGCCCCGGCCCCTCAGGCCCC